TGGTTTGCTCAACATGAGATAAAAGAAAAACAACAACACACTCTATGCTTGCTCAACACATATCAAACTTTTAGTGGGCTTTTTTTTTTTTGTTATTTTGTTTTATTTTTTCCACTATTTTTCGTCGTTTCGTTGTGGTTTCTTTTCCTTTTCTTGTTTTTTTTTTTCTATTTGGTGTTTCTTAAATATTTTTCTTCACTTACATTTTACATACACAACCACACAGACACTCACTGACTGGCACACGCACGCACACACACTCACATAACAAAAATTCCTGCTTTTTTCGCATTTCTTTCCATTTATTTATTCGTAACTAAAAACATATTTTTCACACATTTCTCATCGTTACGAGCAATAAATTTTTCCCGAAATCCATTCTATGGCCACAACACTTGCATTCCGGCCACAAATTATTGCCAAATTCCGATTTTGTATGGTTTTTTTTTTGAGTATAAATATTCCGTCTTTGATTCCGTCGTCGTTCGCACACAAAAAAATTTCGACTTTTCTTTAATTCTCAGGCCGGGCACAGTTAATATTGACGGCGTTGGCAGGTGTACTTCAACTACGATGACGGCGGCGTCCAATGAGGCATCGCCAATGAGTTTTCCCCTCACTAGGGTTGGCAATGAATGCTTGGCATGGAAATCGTTAGAAAATAAATTTTTAATTGCAAACGGTAATATAAAAAAAACTTTTGGAGTGAAAAAAAATCTCACAAAAGGCGCAAGTTACTACAAAACGGGGTTTTTAAGTAGATATACACAATACACCTATTTATTATAAAATAATCTTCTTGGTGACTGGTTGGCAACACCAAACACATTTTATCAAACAAAACATGGACTATTAGCACGTTTAGATACACATTTCAAGGGAAATCATACACATTATTATTTATTGCCCGTTCCGGATTTACTCAATCAGATATTGAATTCTTTTTCTATGAAAATATGAAAGAAAACATATTTCATTTATAAATGTTTTAACTTGATATTGCTTTATTTTATAAAAGTTTTCATTTCACCTTTTCATACACCGAGAACTGATGTGCCGATTTCAGATGGTATAAGAATATAAGTAACAACAATTGCTGTTTTACAATAAACATAAACAGAACCATGGTACAATAAAAAGGTAAGTTAGAGCTACCAGCTGATTACAATTTTTTTCTAATGGTGAGAATGCATAAAACGCTTTTTTCGACTGGCTTAAGTCAACGGCTGGTTTCTCCGTAGAGGAACAAAGAAGTTTTATGTTGACATAGTTCGATTTTGGTCCTATGCTCCGATTACTGCCAATTTTATGTATGTAGTTACTATTTTGAAAAATAACAGTTTTAGCTATTCACGAGTAGAAGCGAGTTTTGCCATGTAAGTTAAGGATCGAACTATTTAGATTATATTTTTGAAAAAATAAAATCCAGGCAATTCATTCATTTTTCGCGCTATTTGACTGATTTTAAATGAGGAAAATATTGAATGGATGAAAATAGCTTGTTTGCATTCAAATATGACAGGAATCGGGCATAGCTTCAGGGCTGTATTTCTGTAGTTTTACGAAGCTGTTCTACCTCCTTATTGTACCTTTTGGTTAAAGGTATTACGTAGTCGACTCTATCCATGATTCGCCCAAAATGTGTCCCATAAATTGAGAATTTTCGCCGAAGATAGGCCTATTTATTTTCATTATTTCTAAACGTTGATTCGAGAAGCCTGTTTTGTACATGCCGCAGCGGGAAAAACCTCAAGGACAGAATAACAATTATTACAATAAGAAAAACAAGCATGGCACAATTACAGAAGGTAGAAAAAAGCTAACCACCAAATACAATTTTTGGTTCTTTTGGTGCATTTATAAAGTCAAATCATATTCACATTTTGTGTATGTGTGTGTATTGCAAAATAAATGCAAATTTTCGACGAAATGGATTAGATTCAATCTTGTGAAATAGCCCCAAAACTCCATTCTTCTTTCGCGGGTTTTTCCCAATATAAAATTTTTGTTTAAAAAATTAAAAATAAACAAAGCCTACTGTTACATATTTAAAAGTATATTTGACACTACAAGACTCCAGCACAGAGTTGCATTTTTCCAGTTTCTTTGATGTTGAGCAACCTTTCTTACATGGTAGAAGAATATAGGTAGACGCATCGACACAGCTGCTGGGACAATGAACTGTCAAACCAATTTTGGAATTGAAAATGTTGAATGAAAAATTATTTAAATTTGCAAAAATTGTTGAAAAACACGAATTATAATAACCTCCGAAAGACGTCGTATAAGAAAACATATTAAAATCTACTTATATTTTAAAGGACATTTAAATTTTTTTGACATATCAATGCTCCCAAGCGTTGATGCATCTACCTGTATTCTTCTGCCATGCTTTCTTATCGAGCCATGTGTAAAACCTTTATCGTCATATAGCAGCTTAAAGTTGGCAATTACATTGATTTCAAACGTAAAATGTATGACATATATTAATGAAATCATGGCAAAAGAATACAGGTAGATGCATCAACGCTTGGGAGCATTGATATGTCAAAAGAATTTAAATGTTTTTTTTTTTTTAAATGTAATTAGATTTTTATATGTTTTCTTATACTACGTCATTCGGAGGTTATTATAATAATTCGTGTTTTTCAACAATTTTTACAAATTTAAATAATTTTTCATTCAACATTTTCAATTCCAAAATTGGTTTGATATTTCATTGTACCAGCAGCCGTGTCGACGCGTCTTCCTATATTCTTTTACCATGAATGAAATGCGTGATCAATAAGATATGTGTGGCTTAGATAAGTGCAAAAAATTGACATAAAATCATATGTTCCACAACATCAGCATTAGATTTAGACAATTTTCTCATCCAATATTTAGTTCGTGTAGCTTTTGTCAAAAAACCTCCATTTAATTATCTTAAAAAACGGTCAGCGCCACCTTGTGATGACTAGCACACATAATGTAGGTTGTCGCTTGTACCATCTGTTGGCATTATTTATAACTAAATACATGTTTTTTCAATCACAATGGCAGTTTCTTGTTGTGACGCTCACATTGGGCACACATTTGACGAAAAGTGGCAAACATTTTTTATACCCTCAGCAATATTGCTAGAGAAGGTATATAATATTTGATAAGACCACAACGTGTCTCATCCAAACTTGGTACATCGTAAATGGACAATATCGGTCTACTTAATCAAGTACCTCCCCTACAAAGGGTCAAAATTTTGAAAAATTACAATCTTATAAAATGTGATGAATGAGTCCGATTGTCTTCAAATTTCACACATCCCAATAATTTTATTAACCCAATGTCTAGTGTTAATATGAAATACATCGGTATACTCCTTCTGGTACCTCCCCCACAAAAGGTCGAAATTTTGAATATCGATTAGGCTCATAAAACGCGAAATTAACATCCGATTCCAATTAGACTTGGCACACCTTTCATCAAAACAGGATCTGTTACAAAAACGGGAAAGATCGGACCATTCCTTCTGGTACCTGCCCTACAAACGGTCAAAATTTTGAATATATATTGAGGTCATAAAACGTGAAAAAGGTATCAGGTTCTCCTTAAATATCACACATCTCATTATTTCTACTAAAACAAGATATGTTGTGAAGATGGGATATATCAGCCCACTCCTTCTGATAACTTCCCTTACAAAGGGTCAAAACTTTGAATATTCATGAAGGTCCTAAAACGCGAAAATTATATCCGATTTCATTCAGACTTGGTACATGTCAATATTTTCATCAACACAAAATCTGTCATTAAGATGATAGAGTTCGGACCATTTCTTCTGGTACCTCTCCCTCATAGGGTTCAAGATGTTTAAAAACAAAACGCTCAAAGAAAGCGAAATAAGCATCCAACTCTCTTCAAATTTCACACATAAAATATATTTGCTAACGAAAGATCTGCTGTGAAGATAATATGTGTCTGCCAAGACCTTCTGGTACCTCCCCACAAAGGGTCACAATTCTTGAATATTTCGGGTGTTAACAAATTTGTCCAAAATATTCTTCGTATTTTTATCTGCAATATTGCCGAAGACACTATATAGGGTGAGATGAAAAAAACTGCAACCAACTTCAGACTGTTGTAATTCCTAGGCCACTCGTCCGGCAGGTATTAAAATAATTCCAGTGACAGTTCATTGCATTGTTTACAAGCGCCGGCCATGGTGATACCACAGCCGACGGTCGCTCTCCATCAGGATATATGCCAGATATTATCGCGAAAATATTCTGGAGCATGTATTAAAGCCTTGGGCAGGCATACATTTTGGCCGCAGGCCGTTGGACATTCCAATAGGACTCAGCACCATTGCACTCAGCACGCGCCACCAAAGAATGGTTACAAAATGAGGTTTCTCGCTTCATTTCCAGCACAGAATGGCCTCCAAAATCTCAGGATACCAATCCACTGGACTATTATGTCTGGAGTATTCTGGAAACAAGGTTGGCAGAAAAAAATACCAAAGTGTCAATCAACTCAAGCAACCGCTTTGCCAAAATACCGCAGAGCAACATTAGGGCAGTGTGTGACGGTTTCATTGGCCGTTTGAAGGCCATAATTCGTGTCAAAGGTGACCAATTCGAACAAATCTAAACTTATTCTAAAATTTGATGCTATTTCCGACATGTTTTGCTTCATTCAATAAAATTTATTTAAAAAAATTAAAAGTTATGGCGTTTGACTTTGTTGCAGTTATTTTTATCTAATCCTGTATACCTGAAACGCACAAATATCGAGCGATCTTAATCCGAAATTTTCTGAAAACGTCTATTTAGGTTACTTTGTGATGTATACACGTGTGTGTTTTCAGTTCTAATTTCATAATCTGATTTTCCTTATTATTATTGAAAAAATTTCAACTTGTCGCACAGTGTAATTAAACCATAAAATAATCATAATTACTCTGTTCCAATACCTGCAAGAATCTACTACTTTTGTTATTTTCTTCGGTATCATGAAGGGAAAATCGCTTGTCGTAGTAAAAACATTTACATTCTTGCAGTTATGAAATACACTACAAATTATGTATTACCCCCCATCAGTATTTGCTTTTAAACTCAACTTTCCATCCCTGCACTGTGATGTTGAGATAACGTTACGTTACTTACCAATTGAAAACTCTCATATATGGTTGGCAACACCGGATCAACCAATTGTTGATTTGTCTTCGCCTTTATTCGTAAATAAAACGTTTTGTGCAAAGTTGGCAATTCACTCTCTAGGGCTCTAAAGATCGAAAATTTCTCTTAAAGAAATACAGTATTTTTTCATGTTCTTGCACGTGCATTCCGCTGGCATTTGTTGTTTTTAAGTTTACACGCTATAAAAATGCGCAATTTAAAGTTAAAATATTGCCTTTCCCACAAAGTGGGCATAGAGAATCCAAGAATCCTCTTGGTCAATCCCAATTCACAGAAGCTTGTCAATGAGAGGCGTTATGCGGTGACCGAGAGTCAATTGTTTGCATTCGATGTCGTCGCCCAGTCGAAAAGTGTTATGGCCGAAGTGCCTGATATTGTGGCAGCCGAATATTTGGCTCTCGACAATCAAATATGTTTAGCCACCAGGGGTGGTGAAGTATTGCTCGTCAATCCCGATACATTGGAGATGAATGAAGGTACCTTCTGTGATGTTGGTATCGAGTGCATGGCATGGAGTCCCGATCAAGAGGTTGTGGTTTTTGTAACCAAGGAACATAATGTTGTGGTCATGACCTGTACCTATGATCCGCTGACGGAACATTCGTTGTACGACGAGCAGACAGAGGCTGAAGGGGGATTTGTGAATGTGGGTTGGGGCAAGAAGGAGACACAGTTTCATGGTTCCGAGGGCAAAGAGGCAGCCAAGGCTAAGCAGGAGGTGGATGTGCCGGTGAATTTGGAGGAAATTAATAAGGTAAGCGGTCCAATGGAGATAAATGTTCAATATTAAATGTTTGATTTCTTTCAGGACATCATCATTAGCTGGCGTGCAGATGGTGCCTATTTTGTAGTTTCCTATGTCAGCCCGTCGAAGGGACGCACTTTCAAAGTATTCGACAAGGAGGGAAAACTTCAATTTGTGGCCGAAAAGCAGGCCAATTTATATGGCCCCACGGCCTGGAGGCCATCGGGCAATTGGATTGCCGTACCACAAAAGTTGCCCAACAAAAGCACCATTGCTCTGTTCGAAAAGAATGGTTTACGCCATAGAGAAATTGTTCTACCATTCGATTTGGAAGCTACACCTATTGAAGATTTAAAATGGAGCTCAGATTCCGAGATACTTAGCATAAGAACAAAAACCAAAATCTATTTATACACCATTGGCAATTATCATTGGTATTTGAAGCAGGTACTGGATTTCCAAGACCAAGAAGACGCGGTAACACATTACACCTGGGACAGTCGTATTGGAGAGGAGAAAACTCTGCACATACTTTTCCAAAGTGGCAAATATTTAATTTACAAATGGTACTGGGCAATTGATCGTCTGAATCGTACCGGCCTGGTGGCCGTTGTGGATGGTAATCAATTACTTTTGAGTGATTTCTCAAAGGCTGTTATACCACCACCCATGTGCACCAAGACATTGCAACTGGAGGGTGCCGAGTCAGGAGATTCCTACATTACCACAGTCACCCTAATGCAAGATGCCGAAGATGAGGTTCATTTGTGTATTCTGGATTCGCGCAATACCATACACTATTACAAATCTCATTTGTCGTATGTAAGCACATTCACACTTCAGTCACGATGGTCGGAGGAGCCAGCATCATCAGATATTCCACAAATGTTGCCGCTTCAATATGGCAATTTACAATGGTTGGGATGTTTTGAGGGCGATAGCTATTTGGTGGTCAGCTTTAGCCACCATGACACAAGTCAAATACATTTCCTGGCTGTGGGTGCTCCACAGGGCCAAAAGAAAGTTGTGCAAGTGGCGGGCATTATATCCTGCCTCATGCCCTCTTGCCAAGAAGAGGACTGTTCGCTGTTCTATCAACTCCTAGATGATAATCGCATCGTTCAATTGGACAATGTTCTTTACCCGGGAGGAGAAACATCCTTCAAACGGCATTTGGAATTACCCCAAAATATCGATCAAATGGAAATCTTCACACAGCGAAGTGATTCTGCCAAGACCCACACCATATGCCTTAGCAACAATCAATGTTTGTATGTGGATGATGAGAGAATTGCCACAGATGTCACATCGTTTTGTATGGCCGGAAATTATTTGACCTTTACCAAATTGACATCCTTGCATTTTTTGCGGCTGGCCGATATGCGTTTAGTGGATGAACGTCGTCTGGAGAGGGGTGCCAAGTTGGTGACAACTGTGGCGAATAGTGCCCGCACTGTTTTGCAAATGCCTCGTGGCAACATGGAGGCAATATGTCCCAGGGTTTTGTCTCTAGAATTGGTGGGGGCCCTGTTGGACTCTCAGCGCTATTGTCTGGCCTTTGATGTGTTGCGTAAACAAAGAATTAATCTGAACATAATTTGCGATCACAATCTCTGCACTTTTATGGATAAAATTGATGTCTTCCTCGAGGAGATACAGAATCCAAATTGGTTGAATTTATTCCTCAGTGATTTACAGAATGAGGTGAGTATTTACCCTTCCTACCACCACCCCCCCAACAAAATTAGTTTCATGACTCCCTTTTCCATTTCAGGACTTTACCAAGACCATGTATTCCAGTAACTACAAACAGGACTCCCAATGTTATCCGGAGGCATTTAAAATCGAAAACAAAGTGGAGCTCATCTGCAAGGCATTGTGTGTACGCATGGAGCAGTCAAGTGAGAAACGTTTCCGTTTACCCATCATAACTGCCTATGTCAAGTTGAGGCAAATCGAAAAGGCCCTTGAATTGATATGGGAGGAAAAGAAGCGGGAAAGTAGCGTCAACAATGATTCACCGGCTGTGGGTGCGGAGGAAGCCCTTAAATATCTTCTCTATTTGGTCGATGTAAATGAACTCTACAATGTTGCCCTGGGCACCTATGATTTCGGTTTGGTACTCTTTGTGGCCCAGAAATCCCAAAAGGATCCCAAAGAGTTTTTGGCATTCCTGAATGAATTGAAGGGTTACGAGCCAAATTATCGTAAATTTAAAATTGACGAACATTTGAGGCGTTTCGAAAAGGCCCTACTGCACATTGCCAATTGTGGCCGTGAGAAATTCCACGAAGCTTTGGAATTTATAAAACGTCATGAATACTATTCGCGTTCGTTGCAGGCCTATCAAAATGATGCGGAATGTTATGGGGAAATCTGTTTGGCATTTGCCGACCACTTGAGAGCCAATGGAAAATTGGAAGAAGCCAGTTTACTCTATGAGAGGGGTGGTAATTTGCAGCAGGCTCTGCTCAGTGCCAAGCACATTTTGGATTGGCAAAGGGCTCTAAAATTGGCCAAGCTAAGTGGACAGGATGTGGGCCAAGTGGCATTGTAAGTCAACCCCTCGAAGGAAAAGAAAAATTTGCTAATAAATCTTTTGTCTTTTATTTTCAGATCACTGGTAGCCCCCCTACAGGAACAAGGTCGTTACGACGAGGCCTATCACCTGTCCAAGACCTATGGCCAAAACCCCAAAGATTCATTGCAATGCCTAATCAAAGGCAAATTATTTTTGAAAGCCATATCTGAGGCCCAAATGCAACAAGGCTCCGATGACAATAAAACCCAAGATGAGGGAGATGATCTCATCACCTTGGTTAGCAACGAATTATTGGCCTATCAAAGTGTTTTACTTAATTCCATAACCGGAGATGAAGAATTGTTTAAACAACACAAAGATCGTCTAATACAAGTGCGTGCCAATCGCCTTAAACTGGCACAATTCGGCGGGGGTGATGATGACCAAGTGGATATTGATGAATGTGATCTATTGTCGGATACCACAAGTATGCGGTCATCACGTTACACGGCCAGTTCCAGAGGCACAGGGTAAAATATTTCATACATTCTTTATTTGGATTGGAAAATAAATATATTTTCATTCATTCTGTTTTAGAAAAACCTTCCGTTCGAGCAAAAATCGCCGCAAGCATGAACGTAAAATCCTCAGCCTTAAACCAGGCAATCCATTCGAAGATATTGCCCTAATCGATGCCCTCTACAATCAGATAACCCGTTGCTTTGGCCAACAACAACATGTCCGTGATACATGTAAAGCAATGCTACAATTGCAACAGGACTCGGCTGCGCGACAGTTGCAAGCGAGTTACAAACATCTCTTAAGTACAATGCAAAATGCCCTGGACGATATCTGGATTGAGGAAATGTTACAGAGCTGCGGACAACAATTTTTGCAGGGACCCAATGTCGATTATACCCAGCTGAAGAATGAACAACGTTATGCTATGCTGAGTAAGTATGCTGCCGACAAGTGTTACACTTTTTATGACCGATAGAAACGTTGCTGCGTCCTTCTTGACCAAGAGGGTCTACCCATTGTGTCTTCTGTCTGGGCAGTAGAGAGTGTGGAGATAATGAGTATCCAGGATCGCAAATCGCGCCTGTCTAGATGCCAATGTTGATGGAATGAAAGTGAGAATGATAAAGTAAAATTCTGATTTATCCCTGATGTTACTTTTGCGTTTAAGAGTACACTCCAATCTGAAATCGACTCCCTACTCAACTTAAAACCTTTAAGTCTCTTTGTAGAGGAACAAGCTGCTAGATGTGCCCTGCGGCTCAATAAATTAGGTCAGTGGGGGAGTAAATCCTTTGTTTACTCTGTCATTCTTAAATGTGGAGACCATAGGTGGTCGGGTTATAACCAGCGATTACATATCACCTAGGCAAAGTTTCGGATCACTGGACATCCATATACCAAATAGGGGACACCTGGCCTCGGAACACACCATCTTTTAACGGTATAGCCGTATATATCGATGGTTTAAAGATGGAAACGGGGGTTGGGGTCTTCTGTGAATGCTTGAATATCCGGACATCCTTTAAATTAAACACTGAAGCGTTCTTAAGGTAGAAATCTTTGCTATCAGGAAAGCCATGGAAAAAATAATTAAGGAGTTGAATAGACCGGTGACTATATATGTCGATAGTCAGGCGGCCTTGAAGGCTCTTAATTCTTTTACAATCAAATCTATGGCTGTTCTGGAAGGCGGAAATTCTCTGGAAAAGTTTAAATCGCTGGCAAAACTTTTTTGAGTCCCTGGCCATTGTTACATATCTGGCAATGAATCAGCAGATGAATTGGCTAGACGTGGTCTGAGTGAGTAGATTTAGAGATCGACAGGTTAGCGAAACCTCTATTATTCCATTTCTTCCAAGAATTGCACATGCACTATCTTGGGAGGTTCAATCGGAACTTGCTGACTGAAAGGAGATGTAATATCTCCAAAAAATATCGTCAGTGATCTCCGAGTGGAGATCAATGTCATTCATCTCATTGGCTAAATCTGACCTAAAGCCATGACTAAGGGCCATGACTTCAAAATGGGGGGGGGGGGGGGGTGGTCGATGACACGGAATACTGCAAGCTCTGTCAGGACGAGGAGGAAATCGACAGAGGTTAATGGGTAACAGACAGAGGTTAATGGGTAACAGACAGAGGTTAATGGGTAAGCAAATTCTACCCGACTTGACTTCTTTTTCTGAAACCGAGTCAGCAGTGATGCTTCAATTAGCCAGAAGATTTAAATGGCTTAAGACAACACGCCGATCACAACGTGTATACACTTTCATTCTCTTCGCTTTTTCCTCTATTTCTTCTAACTTTCTCTTCTGATACATTTTTCTTTCTGCATTGAACTTCTTCTTCTTCTTCCCTAAACAGGATAAACATAATGGGCCAATAGGTCTGGAGTGGTTGTGTTTTTAGACAACCACGCATCCTTTAACCTAACCTACTTGAAATAGCCCCAAAACTCCATTCTTCTTTCGCGGGTTTTTCCCAATATAAAATTTTTGTTTAAAAAATTAAAAATAAACAAAGCCTACTGTTACATATTTAAAAGTATATTTGACACTACAAGACTCCAGCACAGAGTTGCATTTTTCCAGTTTCTTTGATGTTGAGCAACCTTTCTTACATGGTAGAAGAATATAGGTAGACGCATCGACACAGCTGCTGGGACAATGAACTGTCAAACCAATTTTGGAATTGAAAATGTTGAATGAAAAATTATTTAAATTTGCAAAAATTGTTGAAAAACACGAATTATAATAACCTCCGAAAGACGTCGTATAAGAAAACATATTAAAATCTACTTATATTTTAAAGGACATTTAAATTTTTTTGACATATCAATGCTCCCAAGCGTTGATGCATCTACCTGTATTCTTCTGCCATGCTTTCTTATCGAGCCATGTGTAAAACCTTTATCGTCATATAGCAGCTTAAAGTTGGCAATTACATTGATTTCAAACGTAAAATGTATGACATATATTAATGAAATCATGGCAAAAGAATACAGGTAGATGCATCAACGCTTGGGAGCATTGATATGTCAAAAGAATTTAAATGTTTTTTTTTTTTTAAATGTAATTAGATTTTTATATGTTTTCTTATACTACGTCATTCGGAGGTTATTATAATAATTCGTGTTTTTCAACAATTTTTACAAATTTAAATAATTTTTCATTCAACATTTTCAATTCCAAAATTGGTTTGATATTTCATTGTACCAGCAGCCGTGTCGACGCGTCTTCCTATATTCTTTTACCATGAATGAAATGCGTGATCAATAAGATATGTGTGGCTTAGATAAGTGCAAAAAATTGACATAAAATCATATGTTCCACAACATCAGCATTAGATTTAGACAATTTTCTCATCCAATATTTAGTTCGTGTAGCTTTTGTCAAAAAACCTCCATTTAATTATCTTAAAAAACGGTCAGCGCCACCTTGTGATGACTAGCACACATAATGTAGGTTGTCGCTTGTACCATCTGTTGGCATTATTTATAACTAAATACATGTTTTTTCAATCACAATGGCAGTTTCTTGTTGTGACGCTCACATTGGGCACACATTTGACGAAAAGTGGCAAACATTTTTTATACCCTCAGCAATATTGCTAGAGAAGGTATATAATATTTGATAAGACCACAACGTGTCTCATCCAAACTTGGTACATCGTAAATGGACAATATCGGTCTACTTAATCAAGTACCTCCCCTACAAAGGGTCAAAATTTTGAAAAATTACAATCTTATAAAATGTGATGAATGAGTCCGATTGTCTTCAAATTTCACACATCCCAATAATTTTATTAACCCAATGTCTAGTGTTAATATGAAATACATCGGTATACTCCTTCTGGTACCTCCCCCACAAAAGGTCGAAATTTTGAATATCGATTAGGCTCATAAAACGCGAAATTAACATCCGATTCCAATTAGACTTGGCACACCTTTCATCAAAACAGGATCTGTTACAAAAACGGGAAAGATCGGACCATTCCTTCTGGTACCTGCCCTACAAACGGTCAAAATTTTGAATATATATTGAGGTCATAAAACGTGAAAAAGGTATCAGGTTCTCCTTAAATATCACACATCTCATTATTTCTACTAAAACAAGATATGTTGTGAAGATGGGATATATCAGCCCACTCCTTCTGATAACTTCCCTTACAAAGGGTCAAAACTTTGAATATTCATGAAGGTCCTAAAACGCGAAAATTATATCCGATTTCATTCAGACTTGGTACATGTCAATATTTTCATCAACACAAAATCTGTCATTAAGATGATAGAGTTCGGACCATTTCTTCTGGTACCTCTCCCTCATAGGGTTCAAGATGTTTAAAAACAAAACGCTCAAAGAAAGCGAAATAAGCATCCAACTCTCTTCAAATTTCACACATAAAATATATTTGCTAACGAAAGATCTGCTGTGAAGATAATATGTGTCTGCCAAGACCTTCTGGTACCTCCCCACAAAGGGTCACAATTCTTGAATATTTCGGGTGTTAACAAATTTGTCCAAAATATTCTTCGTATTTTTATCTGCAATATTGCCGAAGACACTATATAGGGTGAGATGAAAAAAACTGCAACCAACTTCAGACTGTTGTAATTCCTAGGCCACTCGTCCGGCAGGTATTAAAATAATTCCAGTGACAGTTCATTGCATTGTTTACAAGCGCCGGCCATGGTGATACCACAGCCGACGGTCGCTCTCCATCAGGATATATGCCAGATATTATCGCGAAAATATTCTGGAGCATGTATTAAAGCCTTGGGCAGGCATACATTTTGGCCGCAGGCCGTTGGACATTCCAATAGGACTCAGCACCATTGCACTCAGCACGCGCCACCAAAGAATGGTTACAAAATGAGGTTTCTCGCTTCATTTCCAGCACAGAATGGCCTCCAAAATCTCAGGATACCAATCCACTGGACTATTATGTCTGGAGTATTCTGGAAACAAGGTTGGCAGAAAAAAATACCAAAGTGTCAATCAACTCAAGCAACCGCTTTGCCAAAATACCGCAGAGCAACATTAGGGCAGTGTGTGACGGTTTCATTGGCCGTTTGAAGGCCATAATTCGTGTCAAAGGTGACCAATTCGAACAAATCTAAACTTATTCTAAAATTTGATGCTATTTCCGACATGTTTTGCTTCATTCAATAAAATTTATTTAAAAAAATTAAAAGTTATGGCGTTTGACTTTGTTGCAGTTATTTTTATCTAATCCTGTATACCTGAAACGCACAAATATCGAGCGATCTTAATCCGAAATTTTCTGAAAACGTCTATTTAGGTTACTTTGTGATGTATACACGTGTGTGTTTTCAGTTCTAATTTCATAATCTGATTTTCCTTATTATTATTGAAAAAATTTCAACTTGTCGCACAGTGTAATTAAACCATAAAATAATCATAATTACTCTGTTCCAATACCTGCAAGAATCTACTACTTTTGTTATTTTCTTCGGTATCATGAAGGGAAAATCGCTTGTCGTAGTAAAAACATTTACATTCTTGCAGTTATGAAATACACTACAAATTATGTATTACCCCCCATCAGTATTTGCTTTTAAACTCAACTTTCCATCCCTGCACTGTGATGTTGAGATAACGTTACGTTACTTACCAATTGAAAACTCTCATATATGGTTGGCAACACCGGATCAACCAATTGTTGATTTGTCTTCGCCTTTATTCGTAAATAAAACGTTTTGTGCAAAGTTGGCAATTCACTCTCTAGGGCTCTAAAGATCGAAAATTTCTCTTAAAGAAATACAGTATTTTTTCATGTTCTTGCACGTGCATTCCGCTGGCATTTGTTGTTTTTAAGTTTACACGCTATAAAAATGCGCAATTTAAAGTTAAAATATTGCCTTTCCCACAAAGTGGGCATAGAGAATCCAAGAATCCTCTTGGTCAATCCCAATTCACAGAAGCTTGTCAATGAGAGGCGTTATGCGGTGACCGAGAGTCAATTGTTTGCATTCGATGTCGTCGCCCAGTCGAAAAGTGTTATGGCCGAAGTGCCTGATATTGTGGCAGCCGAATATTTGGCTCTCGACAATCAAATATGTTTAGCCACCAGGGGTGGTGAAGTATTGCTCGTCAATCCCGATACATTGGA